GGGTTAGGGTTAGGGTTAGGGTTAGGGTTAGGGTTAGGGTTAGGGTTCCCATTCAATCTGGGAGATGTCTGCTGCCACCAAACTTACCCTGAGTTCTGGTCCCTGGGTTAGATCTAGAGGGCAGGGGGTGGAGGGGAAAAGAGGGGTGGAGGTTTGTAGTTTGGCATGGTTGGTCAGTGGCCACTCTCTGATGTTCCAAAACTCAGGAACAGACATGACTAATTTTCACCCTTCTCTGGTGTTTCAGAAGTGTTCAGCCTTTTGGACAAGGACAAGAATGGCATTGTCCAGCTCTCCCTGCCTGAGGTAAATGACCCAAGGCTCAAGGATCCTCTCTTAGACAGACTTTTAAGTCCCCGGACAGAATAGGTACTCTGCTGTGTTTATTTCTTCCAACCAGCTTATTGCCATGCGAATCCCCTGAGTGTCCTGTGTTCGACTTGGGAAGAAGGAATAGATAGTAGTTTAAGTCAAAGATTTTAATCCATTGATTAAATACTTTAATCAAGGCCCCCCTCTTACCTCTTTCATTCCTTTATCTTAAAGGTAAAACTACAGGTAGCTCTATCTAAAATCATTTCAAAGATGCAAACTAATGTTAGTTGGGATGGGTTTGTAGGTACATTTGTGTTTGGTTCAGGGAGTAGGCAAAATTTAATATGCCTGATGTCTTGGACTTCTGAATTAACATATAGGGCGCACCACAGCCAAAACTAAATCTCAATGAGGTAATATAAAGGTACTAAATAAATGATTCTTCTTATTCTGCATAAGTCACATTGTGCTTATTGCAGAAAGTGCCAGTTGGTGCCTGTAAGGACAAACCCTGGGTAACAGAGTCTGTCGCTGGCTGCTAGGAAGGGGTAAGGGGAACAGAAGTACCGACATGGCCCAAGGTTTCTGAAGCAGTGGAGCTAGAGGACTGGGCTATTACCTCCCTGTCATATTAGAGGACTGGGCTATTACCTCCCTGCCATGTTAGAGGACTGGGTTATTACCTCCCTGCCATGTTAGAGGACTGGGTTATTAC